ACACTTGGTGTGTGTGTGTGTATGGAATGAGTCAACAGGGATGTGGGGCAGCTGATAAGGGCCATAAAGGGGCTGTGTGTAGACTAACTGCAGGTTTTTAGGCCAAGAAAGCTTGTTTTTTAAACTTGAATTGACTCACCCTTGGAACATTGGCCTTCTCTCCAGACATTGTTTATAGCTTGGGGAAATGACCTTCTCCACCAGCACAAACACCAGCTGTGATTTGCATCTTATATTTGGTTTCTGAACTGCTGTTTGAGCAATCGTGAGTGAGTGTTACAGACATTCTTCCAATTCTAATCTGGGCAATTGCTTCTCCGGCAGATTCTGTGGAGCACCTCTCTCACACCCCCTCCTCCCGCCAGCCTTCCTCTGCCAGCTCCCTGCACACTACCCGGGCTGCCAGGTCGTCCTTGCCAAGAGACGACCCAAATGCTAATACTTTAGCTGCTGAGGAAACCAGGAGTGAGTCAGAAGTCCTCTTCCTTCCTGACTATCTGGTTCTGTCCAACTGTGAGACGGGAAGACTGCATCCGACCAGGTATGCTTCTGCCCAGACTCCGCCTTGAGCTGGGTCTCCTAACGTCCTCCCCTCTGTTCCCAGAGCCCACCCTGCCTCTTGGTGTGGAGTCTGTTGCCCAAATCAGTCCGTTTAGCTGTTCCATCTTCTAGTGGGTGGGTCTGCCCTCATCGCTGCCTGCAGCTACCGCAGTGGGGACAGATCACTAGGCCATGAAAGATGAAGTGTGCCACATACTGAAGGAGCCATGTGTCTGAGCACTGTGCCTTCCATTTCTACCCTTGCATTTCTATGTGAGTCAGATGCTTGTAAGATGAAAAAAAAGTCACCAGCAGCTGCCGGGCATTTGCAGTCATTCCCTCAAACTTTTATGTTTTTCTTCCCTCAGTCTACCCACGAGATGTGATAGCTGGTCAAACTCGGAGCGGTCATTGGAACCGGCTTCATATGATGATGTCTTTGTGGACTGTCTGCCGTCGCTCGCCTCCAGTAACTTGCTCGACTCCTCATGGCACCCGGATGGGTCTCAGGAGGGGTCTTCTGTGAAGCCTCAGGCTGCCCTGATCAGGAGCAGAGAAAGCAATGGGCCACCCAGGGACCACTTGTCATTTTCACCATTGCTGAAAACTTCCTCCAATGCCACCATGCCGGTGTATGCAAACCTCGATTCCTTGTCCTGTGGGCTCAAAGACGTACACATTACGTCCAATACCCCACCTCCCCGCCCCCCTAAGCCCAGCCATCTCTCTGAATGGCATCAGCAGGAGCAACTCCTGTGGAGTGGGCATAGCGGCATCCAGAACCCAGGATACTATCTGGTTCCAAGAAGAATCTCTCTCTCTGGCTTAGATAACATGAGAACCTGGAAAGGTGAGTGCTGAACGTAAAGATTCAGGGACAAAGAGAAGCCCGGGCAAGGACTGCCTGGCCTGGTTCCTCTTCACTCCTTGTGTCCATATGAGAACTTTACCCAGTGTCCCTTGCTCCTAATGGGACCAGGCACACTGTGGAAGCACACAGCCTGAGTTTTAGCCACTCTCCTCCTCTTAGTGTCCCACCTTCGATACTGAACACCAGGAGAGCTACTTGGTCCCTTAACTGTGTGTTTGTGTGTGGGCTGGGCTGCCTGCTGGAGGTGGCCCTGCGGTTTGTTTGGAGTCACTTGAGAGCTCCCTTGGGGTGAAAGGTGATGGCTTTGCCTTTCCCATGCATCCTGAGGCCTGCGACTGGAGTTCATAGCTCCTCCTGCTTTTCAGCCAGCTCATTAGCCTCAGGCAGCATCTCACCTGGCATGTTCTTTCCACACTCTGACTGCACCCTAGTCAGGTGACTTTTGGCCAAGCTCCCCATCAAGGTGATGCCAATGCAGCCCCAAAACCTTAGTCTGTTGCTAGAACCCTGTTTTGCCACCCTTATCCTCCCACCTGGCTTCCTCTGGCCCTCTGAGGCTGGTGCTGGCCCGCATGAACCCCTCAGTGTGGCTTTTGGGTACTCTTTACTGCTTCCCTCGGCCTCCCCAGCTTTTTGCCATGAACCAATGAAACTAAGCATTTTACCTTCTCTCTTCTGTCAGCCTGTCTTTCTCAAACACACACACACACACACACACACACACTCACACTCCATATATAATAAGCTTCATGCCACTGTCTATCAAGGCCCTGTTTTAAAGTAATTATGGAAGTTTACGGAATGCAAACTCATTTTCAAATTTTATAAATCTCTCATTCTGACATATGATCTGGCATATGATGAAGAACCAATGGTATTGAAGGAGAAAGGCAAAGCTGCAATGAAAGAATTGGCGAAGAACAAGGCTCCGGGAATTGACCGGATACCCACTGAGATGTTTCAACAAACAGATGCCATGCTGGAGGCCCTCACTCAGCTATACGAGGACAGCTACCTGACCAATTGACTGGAAAAAAATCCATATTTGTACCCATTCCAAAGAAAGGTGATCCCACAGAATGTGGAAATTATTAAACAATATCATTAATATATCACACAAGTAAAATCTTGCTGAAGATAATTCAAAAACAGGTGCTGCAGTATATCAACAGAGAACTTCCAGAAATGCAAGCTGGATTCAGAGGAGGATGTGGAATATCACTGCTGATGTCAGATGGATCTTTGGCTGAAGGCAAAGAATACCAGAGAGATGTTTACTTGTGTTTTATTGACTATGCAAAAGCATTCGATTGCGTGGATCATAACAAATTGTGGATAACATTGAGAAGAATGCAAA